TCTCTTTCTCTCTCTCTCTCTCTCTCTCTCTCTCTCTCTCTCTCTCTTTCTCTCTCTCTCTCTCTCGCTCTCTCTCGACTTTTCACAAAAATAGAATCAATAAAAGGAATCGACGTTACGTGGAAGTAGGTCTGCGCGCTATCCCGCGAGTCAACTCGACAAGGTTTTCGACCTTTGCTATTAAGGGACGTACCTATTCGAGCGCCGCGCCGCCGATCCGAGAGCACCCTCCTTTATTTATCACGCTCGATTCCGCGTTGTCTTCGCGGTCGCCGGCGGATCGATGCCCCGAACTGACGGATTTTATTAACGAGTTGGAATCGATCCTGCTTCGAACGCTCACACCTGGCCGCATATAGGACGAAATTTGTCCGAGGGGACGAAAACTATTAGAAAAATGTTGCACGCGAATATATAGATGTTATATTTAATTACACGTATCAATTTTAAAATTATTAAAGATTAGTTTCCTCAAATTGCCAGTATAATAGTAAAATTCCAAATTTTATTCGACCACAGCTGGCACATTTGTTAATTAATTGGTCAATGCAGAAAATTTATTGCGAAAAATATTACCTCAGCCAGGAGTTGAATCTAGACCTCCCTTACTCTCTAGGCGGGCGTTTCACCAATTCGACCACTGAGGCATGTAAATTAAAAATTATTATTATACAATTAGTAATTTCGCAATGTTCAAAAGAATGTAAAAATGTGTGACATACTAAAATATTACATATGGCAAAATATATGTATGTATATATATTTATATGAGATTTACTATTATTAAAAAACAAATTATGCCGACTGTAAAATATTTTCGTTTAGTATTTGTTCTGCTTGATGGGTATAAAAGTTTAGGAAGCAAAGTTGATCAAAATCTTGTCTTTCGTGACCAGTTTCGGAACTAGTTGGTATGAATTTCAATGGGATTCTAATTTATAGCAGCAGAGTACCATTAGAAAGTTCAACATAAATCGTAAATTATTCAAAAGTACCAAACTTTGTTTAACATAAAATCTTATTGTTAAGAACAACAGAGCTGAATTCTCTTTACGTTACAGAAAACAACTTCAATTTTCATATCGATAAGAAGGAAGAATGTTTACATACATGTAAAAATCTTTTTCCGATACTCTTTCAGGGTTCTGAATTCTCTCCCCGAAGTGATGTATTTAAAAATTATATAGAAAAAAAGGTCTGAAATTGAAGTTCCAATATTTGTAAGATATGAAAGCGGCATGAAACATTTTCCACCCTTTGTGTATATTACAAATATTTTCTTACGCTATATCTATATCTACATGAAGCATATTTTATACCGTGCGCCGAGCCGAGTGCACTTTTATTAGCGCTCGCATGGTTCGTGGGAGCGGCGGTCCAATCCTACGCATTGCCGGGGTATCCCCCGGCCATGTTAGGCGCATGCAAGAGCCCCGGCCGATACTATCTAACCCTGATCGGTCCTAACCCTGAAACCGGATCTACTCCCGTGCGCTTTCAAACACGCCACTTTTCTCGATTTTTGCACCGCTACAGTTCGTGTAATTATGCAGTAGTATACAGGGTGACTGTGAAACAATGTTTTCCAGTTTGACGAAGCGAACATTTGCTTGAATTTTCTCTTTCGAAGAAAGTTACCTTATAACATTCAAACGAAACTAAATAGAAACGATTTATACATCAATTTTTCTTGTTATATGTCGAATCGCGACGTTTTAGATCCAGTTTAATTTTGCAAGCGTCGAAGAGTTCTGAAGGATTTTTATAGTTTTAGAACAAAGTTGCTCCTGGAAGTGTGATATAATCTTATCCTATATTCTTCA